TAGATCTGGTATAATGGGGTCCTCTTTAAGTTCCATATAACATCTTGTGGTGTTGACTGCAATCTCTAATGTGGAATGTTCATTGAGCGAGTTTTCGGCGTGTAACACCTTTTTTTGACTTCTCTAGGTTTTCGCGTGACGGAGAGCGGTTCGGTGAGCTGGCAGAGTGCTACCAAATGGCCTATTGTAACATAGAGAGAAGATCATCGGGTGACACTCACCTTAGCGTTTATATTGTATAAACGGACTCCACCGTCGTCGATTGATTGCTTATACGTCCTATTTCCTCAAAATCCAGAGTTTCTCTGTCGGCTACCATAATCTTTCGCTTCAAATGAGGCATCCAGTGTCAGTGAAGAACCACGACATCAAAAAGGGCACTCACACTTTCATAAAAGTCTTATGTTTGGAGGAGCTCTCATTCGGTTAGGCCGTCGTTTTTGTGAATGCTTTTCTATGTTAGTCGAATCGAGTCTTTAGAGATCTTGATGGATCTCTAGCGTATTTTTTGCCGCATCCCCAACAACGGCGAAGGGGTGCTGTTCCTCCCAAATACGGACTTCTCGAGATTAACGATGAATACACTGTTCCTCAAGGCATCGTCTCTTGAAGGCCGGTGTCAAAGTTTGCGAATCCAGCTGGATACGAGCGCTGCTCCAGCAAATCTAGCTGTGTACCAGCAGATCGAACTATGTATTAGCGACTCGACACAGACCCCACTCGCGAAGTCAAGGTTCCGCATACGATTCCATTGCTTCAAATAAGATCCCCTTCAGGATATCCTTCACAATCATCGACCCTGATTCTGTTTCCTACAAGATTTTAGACATTTCAGGAAACCGTGAACAAGCTCAAGCGTAAATTAGATGGCGCAGCACCTACGCAAGAGAAAACTGAGAAGACTGTGGTTTTGCTGAAGCGAGATCGATCGGGAAATGTGGTGCCTACTCCTAGTAGCAAACGCTCATCAGAGCATTTTGCAGAGGTTCGAAAATACCCCATCCAAGTTATCTGTGTTCGTTCTCAACGTTACCATTTCAGTCGTCATCTCGTATTCAACGAGAATACGGTAAACAACAAGGTGTAAGCGAAATGGTTCGTGAGGAAAAATCCTCTACAGCTGAGGATCAGCTTATGCTCTTTCATCGATCAATTATAGTTAGTTCCTGTTTCATTTTTTATGTGATTTCTTTGGTTTGAAGACCCCATTTGCCGACTAACTTGTGCAACACGTGTTCCAGCGATATTCAGCAGAGAAACGGAAATTTCCCTCTTTTCCTCCATTCACATTTTTTTCGGTACTAGGGCTGTCAGAACCAAAATATAGGGTGTGACAAACTTGCCCCACTTTGTGCACATCCCACTCACCGATAGCATTTCGTTCTATCTACCTCATCCATTTCTCCTCTACTAGACTTGTATCCCTTTCTTCCCATACTCTGGGCCTTTCCAATTCGAGCTCTGAAGATACAGAAGATGAAGAACTATGAAGTTTCGTGGACCGGTGACTTAGCAATATATATGTATCTGCAAGCTACTTGAACGCACTCGCTAGGCTACAAATTAAGACCCTCACGCCGGCGGGAGCCCTTATGGGATGCCAGAGAGGGGTGCCTGTGGGACGATGGCAGCCCATATGGGCTGCCTGTTATCAGTCACATGCCATTCGATCAAACCATAAGTTACTTGAATATTTTTGATACCAGCGAAATAAGCGGAGCAAAATAAGTATAAACGATATGGTTCAATGGAAAGCTACAGACACGCTTAGT